GGTGGCAACGCGGTGCGCAGGCGCGGCGGCGTGCCCGCCCCCGCCCGCCGCCCGGCGCCTAGTCATTGGCCGCGGCGCCCCCCTCCCGGCTGCCCGGCGTCCCGCGATTGGTCGCGCTTTGCGCTTAAAAGGCGCGGCCAATGGCTGCGAGCGGCAGAGGCCGGGGCGCGGGCGGGCCGCCGGGGGTCGGCGGGCTAGTGGGCTGGGGGTCGGGGAGTCTTTGGGCTGGCGGGGATGTCGGGGTCCAGGTTGCCGGACGGGCCAGAGGCCGACGACCCAGAGGACAAGACGGGCGGGGACTGCGGCCGGGGCTGGTGGGGGCGGCAGCGATTGGTCGCGCTTTGCGCTTAAAAGGCGCGGCCAATGGCTGCGAGCGGCAGAGGCCGGGGCGCGGGCGGGCCGCCGGGGGTCGGCGGGCTAGTGGGCTGGGGGTCGGGGAGTCTTTGGGCTGGCGGGGATGTCGGGGTCCAGGTTGCCGGACGGGCCAGAGGCCGACGACCCAGAGGACAAGACGGGCGGGGACTGCGGCCGGGGCTGGTGGGGGCGGCAGCAATGACTAGCTCTTTGTCTCCGCTTGCTCCAAAATGGCTGCGGCCGGAGCTGACGGGATCGCCGGGCGGGCGCTCGAGGGAGCGGGGACGCCTATATCGGAGCCAAAGCTGCCGCAGCCCGCGGAAACCCGGCACCCCGTGAGGGCACTGCCTGGGGGCCGGATCAGCGAGGTGGCCTGGGCGTCGTCGCCATTGCTCCCGGGCGGGCGCAGGCCCCGAAGCTCGGGGCACCGGGCGTGGCGAGCGCGGGCCTGCCCCCCGGACCGGCGCCTCGGTCAGCCCGAGACCGGGCGTCTCACGCCGTGAGGGCCGCTGCTTGGGCGGCGGGGGCGGGGCAGGGGTCGGCGCCCGAGGCCACACCAGGGTGACTCATCTCCTCCGGCGGCGCGGCCCCTGGCCGCGAGTGTCTGTAAATCACTGGGTGAGACGGCGGTGCCGGCCGGGACCAGCAGCTCGCGTAGGGAAGGGGAGCGTCCAGCTTGGAGGTCTTCCTGGGGTCCTTATTTCCCGTTCTGTCCTTTTGACGAAGTAAGTTATTTAAAATAACCTTACGAGCACCTTCTCTAGGAAGAATTCACGTGAAATTCTGCGGTTTTTTTTTTTTTTTCACCGAAAGATGGTATGCTGGGACATGTCTAGTGGTTTCTTCTCTTTTTTTTTGGGGGGGGGGGGGGCAGACCTAGAGAAGAGCCTCTGGCCGAAGAGGCCGCGCCGCAGTCACACGGCCCGCAGCACAATGCGGGAAGCTGTTGACACACAAATGATCTTTTCTACCCGCCTAACAAAAGAGCCGGTGGCCCCCGCGAGCCCAGCTCCCGGGGCGGGTTCAGACAATGAGCGCGGGGGTTGGAGCCTGCGAAGGGGCCTCCCCGGGCTACCGTGTCGGGGAAACCCTGCAAAGAGAGAATCGGAATTTTGCACCTGAATATGACTACCCAAAACACAGGAAAGGAAAGGGGTGGAACAAACCTGGGCTTGGGGGTACCCTGAACTCGGGGTGTCTGGGTCCCATCCCCACCGCGCTTTGAGCCCAGCGGGGGCCGACGATCTGGTTTGCGAGCAAGAGCAGAAATGTGGGAATATGTGTAAAATCTCATCTTTAATGTTGACAACTCATCAGAAAATGTTAAGTGAGCCAAACAAAAGCAGGCCCCGGGTGCCGTAGTGGGAAACAGGGTACACCGTGGTCTGCACTCAAAACACCCAGATCGGAGTCGGGGCAGAAGAGTGACAGCCGTGCTACGAGGCAAATAACTGGCTGAAGCGAGACGGTGAGGCCCGGGGGGGGGAAGGGGGGGTCCGCCCCTCTAGTTACTGGGATCTAAAGTGAAGGGAGCAGGTGGTACGGTGCCGGCCCCCTCCTGCTTCCCCACAGAGGCAACCCCCGGGCCCCTCCCCCGCCCAGGCCTCCGTGCCGCAGCGGTGCTGACATCACCCCCAGCGTCCTCCGAGGCGCCCTCCGGTCCAGCAGGAAGTGTGGGAGGTGAAGCGTCGGTGCACCGTCTTCCCTCCCCACCCCGCTCCGCCGCGACTCCGCTTCCAGACGGGGTCTCTGCGCCCCAAGGGAAGGTGGGGGCTACCGACGGCTTAAACAGCTCTTGCGCCTCGGACGCCCTCCAGAGACCTGCCCCCCTGAAGGATGGGGGAGGGGCGGTAGCCACGTGGCTCCTCCCCTCCTCCCTATGGAGGGCGGGGAGATGCTGCCAGACTGTTAACCTTGGCCACCCTGGGGACTCGGAGCATTTTCTTTGAATCTCTGCTTGGTTTTGTTCCCACAAGAAGCTTCCGTATGACTTATGTAGTTTGAAACAAAAATTCCACCTAGCATGAAAAGAGAAACGGGCCCGAAAACGAGTGTAAATATACACACCAGGTTTAAACAGAAAAATGTTTGCTGTTAAGTGAGAATGGCAGAACCCTAAAACAGTATATCTTCGCCACCCACAGCGGTGCAAACGTGCAACGCCATGAGCAAAAAGGAGACCTCCCAGGCTGGCGGCTATGTGGGACTATCGGGTTTATTAAGCGGTATATTGTCTTTTCAATAAAATAGAGAAAACATCAGACACGCTCTCTTAAATATAAGAATAAACATAACCACAAGTCAATAATTTCAGTGTTGCCCTCGATTTGTGAAAGATATGCAGCATTTGTTATATTATCTGTGCTTTTGTTGTCTGCCTGAAATACCACACAATAAAACAGTTTTTTTTAAAAAAGACATACAGCCAGGTGGCAGTTGGTGACCCGGCCCTGGTTCCAACCAGCAACACAGCATCAGTGCGCTGTGCTCTGGTCAAGAATGGCTCCACATCCCAGGGGCAAGCTCAGGAACACATACCTGATCGTAAATGCAGCTCCATGAATTTCTTAGGGCCTCGGTAACATCACAAACTTGAGGGCCTAAAACAATAGAAACTTGTTCTCATAGTTCTCGAAACCAGAATCCAAAATCAAGGTGTCAGCAGGGCCACGCTCTCTGGAGAATGCAGGAAGAATTTCCTGCCTCTTCCAGCTTCTGGTGGTCGCAGGCATTGTTGGCTTGCAGCAGCATCACCAAATACCCTGATACAGAACTAAGAAGGAAGAGCACAAGACCTACAGACCAAAAAATTGTAAAACATGATTGAGAGAAATTACAGAAGAAATAAATACATGGAGGGATGTACGAAGTTCAAGAATTGAAAGACTCGATATTGTAAAACTATCATTTCTCCCCAGGATAATCTAAATTCCATACAAATGTATTTTAAGATCCCAGACAGGATCCTTTCACAGAAATGGACAAGCTAGGCTTCCATTTCCAATATGTAAACTATTGAACTGACCTCCCATAGATAGCACTATGAACTCTGGACAACATACAAAATAACCCTTAACCTGGAGCCCCTGTCATGAGCACAGGCAGATGCTGGAGAGGAGTCAACACTCAGGAAAAGAGAATGGCAGGGTGAGCTGCCTGTTTTCACAGCTTCTACTCTAACTGCAGATTGTTGTTCAGTCACTAGGTCACGTCCAACTCTTTGTGACCCCATGGACTGCAGCACGCCAGGCTTCCCTCTTCTATCGTCTTCTATCTCCCGGAATTTGCTCAAATTCATGTCCATTGAGTCAGTGATGCTATCTAACCATCCCATCCTCTGCCGCCCCCTTCACCTTTTGTCTTTCCCAGCACCAAGGTCTTTTCCAAAAAGTCAGCTCTTCCCATCAGGTGGCCAAAATATTGGAGCTTCAACCTCAACAGATAAACACCAAGGAAACACTCCCAGGCCTGCTGGCCTGAGAGCCAGGAGATAGAGTTGGGGCAGTGATACCCTGTGGAAAGTATTTGGGGTCATCCCAGAAAGGAAGGAGTGAGAGAAGGGGAGACCCCAATTCTACTTATAATCTGGGCCTAAATCTCCAGGTGACATTGGAACACAGGTATAGGACAGACTCTAAGCATCTTGGCTAAGAATGAAAGAACTGAGATGAGATCTGAGCTGCTGTCCAAGGGAAAGTGTTTGCTGTCAGTCCCACCAAGTCATCTGCTGTGTGCTAACACAAACACAGAAATAATAAAATCAACACTCTGAGTTAGTGTAGGAGAATCTAGTGTCAACACAAAATAACACAATATCCAGGACACAATCTGAAATTACTAAATACAGAGAAAAAATTACTAAATAAAGAGAAGGAGACTATAAGCCATCCTGGGGGGGAAAAAAATGGCAATTGATCCTTGATATGATCCAGATAACAGAATTAGCAAACTAAAATTTCAAAGTATTATAATCATTCACATAAAGAAAAACATACTTTAACAAGTGAAAAGATTTTTTGAAACTCAACAGCAGACTTGAGACGTCCCTGGTGGTCCAGTGGTTAAGACTCTGAGTTTCCACTGCAGGAGACACAGTCTCGATCCCTGGTCAGGAACTAGAATCCCACATGCCACACGGTGAAGCCAAAACTAAATAAATAAAATAAAAATAAAAGTCACAACAGAGGACTGGAAAATATATTTTATAAAGGAAATTCTATAACTGAAAGTTAAAATTTTCTAAACACAAGGTTGGGCTTCCCTGGTGGCTCAGATGATTAAGAATCTGCCTGCAGTGTGGGACACCCAGGTTCTATCCCTGGGTTGGGAAGATCCCCTGGAGGAGGGCACGGCAACCCACTCTATTCTTGCCTGGAGGATCCCATGGACAGAGGAGCCTTCTGGGCTACAGTCCATGGGGTCACAGAGAGTCAAACACAACTGAAGTGACTTAGCACACACAAACATACAGTTAACTGAAACCAAACAGAAGAGTAGAATGACAAAGGGAAATAAATCAGTAGACTTGAAGGTATATCAATAGAATTTATTCAATCTGAAAAAGAAGGAGTGGGGAATAAATTAAAAGAGCATAAGGGATCTCTGTAACACTGAATAGTATTGAAATATCAACATCTGTGCAACCAAAATCACAAAAACAGAGGAAAGGATAAGGCAAAAAAGAGTATTTGAAGAAATAATTTCCAGAATTT